AGTTTAAAGTACGCACAATCACAACAAATAAACAAAAAAATTATAGGCATATTTATTTTGTCAACATATTTATAGAATATTACAAAGAAAATAAAAAGTTTTTACCTATGACGGTATTGGTACTTTTCATTGTTAAAAAAGATATAAAATAAAAATTTATACAGGTTAAAAATAATAATAGTATATTTATTATTAATATCCAAGAGTATTTAAGGTTTGACGAGTATAGATCTCGATAAGAAATAAACCAATGACATCAACAGTATATATTTATCAATCATAGATTTATATGTGATGCTTGATAAAACTATTTTTTTAAATATTATCTAGATTTCTATGAGATTATTCACATGAATTATTTTTTTTAATTTAACTCTTTAATATTTGAATGTTTTTACGATTTTATCACATAACTAATATATATTCATAATGGGTAAAAATATTTTTTCACTTATTTACATATATGGGTGTGCATGATATGAACTACGGCATGAAAATTAAATATAAATTAATCTCTAATGATTTAAGATCCATATATAAATAATATTTCAAAATATGTTTGTATTTCAGCGGGTTACTAACTACAACTTAATATTTATATTAATAGTTTTTAATATGTATGCGGGTCCTAATCTAGTCTTATATAATATAGTAAGTTTTTTTAGTTGAAGTTATGACAGTTTGCTATGTGTCACCTATTGTTTTGTCATGTGTCTTTTTAATTTATTTATTCAAGAAAAATGAAAATTATAAGTCTTTTTGTATTTCTAATAACTTAGGCAATTAATTCTAACAATTTAATAGCCAATTCTAATATTAATTAATTATAATAAGTTATAATATATACTACACATTGTCTTTTTTTGTTTTTGATACCGACAAAAAATATGATTCTAAATGAAATGTGTTATTATAAAATTTTAATGGTTTGAAAAATAGATATTTTATWTATTYAACRCAACWATARWKTATWWWAAAWRRWAYYWTTTWAAYMMTTTTTCTCTAAACTTAATAACAAGTTAGTGCAATTAAAACTTTTGTGAATTGAGAAAAACTCTTTTTATTTTTATTATTCCTTCCATTTTGTAATCATGATCACAAAACCATAATTCACTTCACCAATTAATCAATGTGAAAGATAAAGTTCACAGCAAAACAATCAAAAGAAAAAAAGAATACAATCAAGCAACAATTATTCTTTTTTTACGTTCAAAGTTCTAACGAAATAAACATAGTGACACGTTCCAACATTTTTGTTGAGATGATGCAGATCAATAATTTTTTTACAAACATGTTTGATCCAAGAAAAAAAAGACCAAACATCTTTTTAATTTTTCTTTATATTTGTATTAACTCACATAATATATGCATGTCTCCTACTAGTTTATGTCAAGTCATACACAAATTTTTATTAATGAACGATATTTTTACATATAAAACTGTATCAATAATTTATTACAAATGGTTTAACATCATTAATTAATCGTTAGTTCTTCCTAATCAATTACCTTTACCCATAATCCATACTTTCTCTTTTGTTGGATCATGAATTATGA